TTAAGTCTTCAGATATCTTACCCTTTCGCGTTTTTGGAGAAAGTTGTAGAAACGGGCAAAGAGCCGTTTTCGTTAGAGTACGCCATGCGCTTAACTTGGCAAAGGCTTGTGGAACGCCTTGAGTTGCGGGTATTTCACGAGGATGGAGACCTGTCTGATGCTGAGCTTACAGTTTTTAACCAGAAAAGTTTCATTTAAAAAATTTTCTTTCCAAGCCCTCCCCTCCAACGAACACCGGTAGGTTTAATTTGTCCGTGTAGGGATTTTAACCCCTACCGCTGGCTGCACAAGAGATTTCTCTGAACATAGCTCTACAGGTATGACGATAGGTGATAGGTTTTATAGTATGGTGTTTTCTGATGGTGACTTGTACCGTCCTCTCAAGGGTATTTGGGCAGACTTCCGTGTATGTGATCTGTAGTTGCTCCCGTACGGTCCCAGAGGCGTCGGTATCTTCCGTGGTGTCCCGCTGCCCTCTAGAGAACTGGTTGGTGCGTGAGGGTTGTGGTGCGTTTGCGCCGCTTACGTCGAGCGCTTTCGCATGCCATCCATCCATCCACTATGCGCTCTTTCTCTCGTGGCCTCCATTATGTAGCGTAGGTTTTTGGCGCAGCGAAAAACGCCGCCCGAGCAATCGCCGGCGCCGGTAAGCGCGCGAGGGCTATGTGGCCACCGACGGCGCTCTTGTTGGCAACGTTGAAGAAGGTTAAGTGCAAGTGTACAGCATTGTTCGTCGTGTAAAGGATTCTTAGGAAGCACGGCTATCGCCATGGTAGTTAAGAGAGCGCTGGGTAAAAACCTAGGTAATCGCCCAGCGATTGTTCTGATAAGTTCCCGGTGACGGTCCGACTTCGTTCGTCTTAGGCGTTTTCTCCGCTTATATCGTTACGTCAGTTTGCAGTTCGATGTTAATTTAAGCCACGTCGCGCCGTCGTTGTCTCCTTGGGCGCTAACTGGGTCACAAGCCGTTTTCGCTCGCTACTCTCTTAGCGAGTAGTGATTGATGGAGTGAAGAGAGCGACCGAGAGAGAAAAATCGCCAACTCACAACATCGGAGAGATTCTTTGCGGCGTTTCACATTAGCACAGTCCCCCGATATGTTTTCGTTTGCGGCCGCCGTGTCGTCATCACCGTCTCATGGCCACTTTCCCGGATTGAGGTCTACATGATACCGTGCCAAAGGTCTCGATAGTGTAGGGGTTTGGTAGGTGGTAAGTTTCTCATAAATCGGCTGCTGAAGGTCAGCTGAAGGTCTCAGTGGGCGTGACGGAGTCAAAAATTGATAAGATTCAAAAATGACAGAGAGGTGTGAACCTTGAGTACCCCTTGACCCAAGCTAGATGCGATTGGAGAACCAAGACCTTGAAAATGACCAGTTTACCCAGTAAACCTTCGCTGCGTAACTATAATTCGCTCCAGAGGTGAAGATGGTGCAAGAGATGAAAGCGTGCTATTATAATTGCACGGTCCGTAGGATCGAATCCGGGGCGAGCCAGCTCGTTCATTTCTTTATGGGTAATTAGATCGCCACAAGACGTTGCTTTAGGTGTTATTAGAACGCTAACTCGAACCTGTGGATGTTACACATTAAGTTACCCGAACAATTGCGGACACAAGTGGAATGCGTGGCGCATCGGAAAGCAGTTGTTTCCAACTTGAACCTGATAAATTAGTAGCAAAAAACGTTTTGGTAAGCGCCCGCTTGTTCTGTTAGCGGGAAATCGTCGGAAAAGGAGCAAAGGGAGGCGGATCTTTTTTTCTGGAATTTTTTTTTCAAGTTCTCAAGTGCTCCTAAGGCTTGTAAGCGCCATAGTATTTTTAGGCGAAGCACGTTCGTAGGTGGAAATCGGGAGGTCTTTGGAATGGGAATAAATCAAAAAAGAGCTTCTGTGGAACCTGTCATTCTTCATCATTCAATACCATATCTCATCTATTTCTGATATATATCCAGGATAACTCACCCTGGGTAACTTGGTACAGGCTGCTTTTGGTTCCCTCAATTGGAGTCACAGTTTCTGGTTGGAAACGAATCGAGATGTGTTCGCGAATGGAATTTGCGGAGTCCTCGTGACCTTCGAATGTGAACTCTATCTGATGTGGAGGTTGCGTGTCGTTGGTTTTGGTTTTGTTCGTTGCTGCCTATCGAGGTAATCGTCAATGTCGCAGCCTCGTTATATAGGCCAGTCCACATTGCCTATTTACCAGAGCATTTCGCATATGTGCCATCACAAAATGTGAGGCGCCTGTCCGGTTTTCATATTAGGAAAATTGGGGGGTGAGACATGGGACCGGCTAGCAGGGTCAGCAGCTCGTTGTACCAAGCTCAAAGAAGGGGTCGTATTAGAGGTTTCTGAAGGAGAGTCGTGTTTTGGTTCTTCTGTGTTGGTGATAGTGGCAAGAGGGACCCTACTCGAGATTTCTGAAAGGGGTTCGGTGGTTACCACTGACCTTCCATATGTAGTATTCGACTTTGAGACCACGCGACACCCATGAACTCCGTAACCCTTTAATTAAAAAATGGCCGCAAATTTCCGAAAAAAAAAAACAACAGTGTTAAGGATAAAAAGGATAAAGCATTTGCCGTTGATCAATCCCGTTTTGGGATGCGGCACGCATTCTACTTCCATTTGTACATTCGCAGTGGCATTTGAATGCGATGTGGCCTATACAATGACTTGCGGGGGCCAGCCGATGTTCAAGTCAGTGTTTTTATCCTCCCAGACAAGTCTGGTACCAATTAACCGACCCCGGAGGGATGGAAGGCTTGGTTGGCCCAGGGCGACACGAATTTTCTAAAAGCTTCTTTATTCCAAGCTGTGTTCCTGAAATTTCCTTCAAAATCGTCCAAGAATCCATCGAAAATGAGCCCTCTCCCTCCTCCATTGAAAATCCAACTCCCACTTTTAGCAACACGAACCCTTTCAGAAATCTCGAGTAGGGTCCCTCTTGCCACTATCACCAACACAGAAGAAACCAAAACACGACTCTCCTTCAGAAACCTCTAATACGACCCCTTCTTTGAG